AATTTTGCCCTCTTAAGCTTAATCCTCTGTTTGCATATTTTATGTGATTTCTGGATAGATTAATGCTGTGATTTAATGCATAATCAAAGCTTAGTATTTTTTTGTTGATTTTATCATGTTGGGTACCTGTGAAAAGGTAATTTGGGTTGAGAGGTTATTTTGTTTGGGCTTAAGGAAGTGATTTAGTTTATTATGTTGATGTTTTGACTTGGGCTCAGGAAGATGGAGCCCAACATATCTGATTGGGTTTGTAAGTATGGATTTAATTTGTTTTGTTTGGGTTTCTGGTTTGGGTTTGAGAGGTGAAGCCCATCTGTTCTAATTGCACTTTGTCTGGGCTTAAAGATAGGCTGGCCTGCTTACCTCTTAGGGTTATCGGTTGGGCCAGGAAGGATTTTGGCCCAAGAAGTGAATAAAATGACCCAATAGCCTGGTCCATGAAGAAACCAGAAAACGATTTTTGCAAATCAGTCCCTGAATTTCTCCTTAACTATACTGTGGCCTTGGATGTCTTCAATTTCTTTCAATTCGGTCCTTACTTTAATTGCAAATTAGGTCCTTGAACTTTATTTTTCTTTAATTTTGACCTCAAGACTTTATTAATTTTTGCAATCAAGTCCTTTCTTCTTTTGACTTCTTAAATGTGGGTTGTTGACATGATTTAATTGATTCAAATTCATGTTTATTTTTTATCCTTTGTGATTATTTGCCAAATAAATTGGTACCTTGACCATTTCTTTTATTTTGGAGGATAAATAAGTTGATTTCACTCCATTAGAGCTTCATTTCAAGGGCGGTATAATCTCTTTTACCCTTTTTGTTTCTCTCCTATGTGGACTAATGTGCTAATTGAAATTTGCATGTCTACTTGCTTTCCTAGCCTCTCCTTATTTCCTTTCATTTATTTCATTTACTTAAGTTATTCTTTTAATGAGGTATGTGTACACCTCTTGGCTTGTAATAGATAGGGCTTTGGCGAGCAATTTGGTCCATTCTCCCTCTTCCCCCTTTTGTTTTAGTTAGTGAATGTAATAGGTTTATTAGCTTGGTTGCATGCCTATGTGTTACGTGTTACTTGCTTTGTTAGGTTCTTGCATCTAGTCGAGCATGCTAAATGTTACGTGCTACGTGTTTATGAGTATTTAGTATGTCTACTTGCTTTCCATAGTGTGGATGAATGGAATGGATGAATGTACGTCACCACACTAGTCCAACGCTAGTTGTGGCTTCTTTTATCGTTTCCACTAGTCCAACGCTAGTCGGAATTCATAGAATGGGCTAGTCCAACGCTAGACCCTTAGGGATTTTCCCTCGATAGTACATCATTTGCTTGTTCACCACATATCACGCATTTTCCTTAGTTTTATCATTTGGCATGATCCTCAAACCCCTTTTCCTCTCATTTTAGGTTTTGCATCCCATACTAGCTATAGGGTTCATTTTGCTTGAGTGTCCCCTTCCGATAAGGGAAACGAGCGAGTGTGGCTACTCGATAGCCTTAGCACGCTAGTTTTGCCTTCTAATCAAAGGGAAAATCGAAGTCGAAAAAGTTAGGAGTCATTCCCACACCCGACCTGATGCATTCCTTTAGGTTCATTCATTCTCATTTATCACTTACTCATTTTTTTCAATTCACATTTCCTCATCACTTTTTTTCCTTATTATTCATTTTGATTTCTACTTCACAAAATTGCACTTAATTACACCTATATGCACTTATCACTATATTTTATACACTTGCACACAAACACTTGGATTTTTCATACAAATTCACACATGCACCTTTCCATACACTTGCACACAAACACTTGGACTTTTCATACAATTTCACACGTGCACCTTTTCATACACTTGCACACTTGCACTTTAGCCATCATTTGCATTAATCGACCTCTATAAGGTTTTCCTTTATTGGCCGCCACAATTCATGTGGTTGGGACCAAAAACCTTACAAGAGACATTTTAGAATTTAGGTTTGCATTTTTTTTCTTTCCTTTTGCATTCATGTAGTGCATCCAAATGTAATAAATTCTTTGGTTAAAATAAGAAAAACTTTGATTAAATCATGCAACTAGCCTTGGCTAGGTCGAAGGGGTGCCTTGGATTTTTATCCTTGCCTTCCCCTTCGTCAAATGGACTCCCGAACCTTTTTTTTGGTTTACGTGGATTAAGAGTCGTTTAAAAGGGGTTTCTTACAACTTTTTCCTAAAAAATTCATTTTTAGGTGACTTGGTACACCTTAACTCATTACCAAGTGGCGACTCCCATTTTTTTTTAACCCTTTTTAAACTATAATTTTGGGTCAAATCGTCGCATTTTCAAACCCCCATTTAGACCCATTTTTCTTTTAAATCACAATTCATTTTCCAATCATAAATTAAATCAAAATACATTTTTAAACCATTTATTTATTTATCAAAAATGGGGCGCGACACGTATTCATCTCAAATAACACATAAATAACCACAATCAATTAATTACACCTCAAGTCAGCTACCTATAATCCACCTCAAGACCGTTAGCCTAAAAATTAAAGCAAGAAACGAAACACCTCAAGTCCGCTAGCCTATTTCATGCTTAGGGTTTCAAACCCATGCCATCTAAGCTTCATACTTGAAGAATTTAGAAAGATTTGAGGAAGGTGAAGGGTTACCTCTTAACCCTTGATGAAACCAGAAATTTCTGACCACAAAACCTCCAAGAAACTCCACTAGATGATGTCTTTCTCCAAGCTAAAGTTGATTTCCAAGAGAGATTTTGAAGTTGGGTGCAAATTTGGAAGTGAAATGGAGCAAGATAAAGCAAGATGAAGTGAAGCTTTCTTCTCTTCTTTTCCTTTGTTGTTCGGCTGACCAAGAGAGGGGAGAGAGAGAAGGATTTGTGTTGTGTGAAGCTTCCCTTGGAAGCTTGAAGAATTTGGCCAAAAACTATGCAAAAGTCAACTACGAATAGTGTCTCGTATAACCATTTTTCTCTCTTGTTTGTTTCACTTGTACACAAATCTTCAAATGTAATTCCTTTAATACTATAATTATTCACTCTTATTAATCTAGTATAAATTTCTCAAATCTCCACTTAGCCGTTTTGATGTGAAATATGCGAACTTTCGATTTGCGCGCGATAAAGCGAATTTTAAAAGGAATTTATGTAACGATAATATAATTAATTAATACTAGGGTAAATAATTATAAAATAATTATTTTAAAAAATAAAACATGAGTCCTCACAATAAACATGCTGATGGAACCAAGGGCAAAATGATCATTTCACATAGGGGCAAAAATGTCCTTTCACTTGCTTCAACAGTGCCAAATTGTGGTACTATTCCTTAGGAATAGTTAATCAAAAGTGGTACTGTCACAATCCCTATAGTTTCTATAGTGAAAGTAACACTAGGTGACAACACATAACAGTGAATTGTTCAAGGGCCAACAGTGGCCTTAGAGCCAATTAGGGTCCCCCATGTCAGCAAAAAAATGTGTGCTGCTCACAATTTAACTCTATAAAAGGGCTGTGGGCTCTAAAACTTAACTCTCTATGTACAAAATTGATTTCTTATGAATCTTATATTTTTTGCCTAACTTCTTCTCAGCTCGTGGTCTAAGCTTTTAAATTGTACTAATTATTATAAAAGTTAACTCAAAACAAACCAAAAAAAAAAAATCATACCCCATTTTATCATAATCGCAAAAAGTAAAAGATAAATAAATTTCAATTTATTATAATTTACAAATTAAAAATTGCATAGTCATCCAAAAAAAGGAGTAAAAGAGATTGTTGGAGAAAAGGAAAAAAGAAGAAAGTGGCTTATTTTTTTTTATTTTTGAGTTCCATTTATTTGATATGTGAATTATGTATTAAGTGAGGGTTAATATAATCTTTTTTGTAATCATTGTGGGAGGTGAGTCCTATTTTTAAAAGTTCATGAATGCTTAGTTCTATTAGGAGAAGTCGCAAGGAAGTTTTTGATAATATCCCCTAAAAGAATATCAACAGTTTAAAATTATTTAGTTCTATGAAATCACAGAGTCCAAAATAGAGTATTGGAAGTAGGCTTGTCAAGTAGACTGATGACTTGGGTTCTGACGAGTCCACACTCAACCCACTCAAGTGGGCTGAGTGCAGTTGTTGTTTTAGTTACAGTTTTAGCCCTAAAACTTACAGCTTTTTAGCCCATGAATTTAATATGTACTTTATAGATACATGGCTAGGGATGGGGGATTTTTTCCCCCCGCTTAGAAACGAGGTGGGGGGTGGGGGAGTGTACCCCCGTCCCATCCTCTGCCCGCCACCCGCTTTAAAAAAATAAATATATAAAAAATATATGTATATAATTATATATATAATATATAATTTAATTAGTTACAAACTTATGATAATGATATTATTAGTTATATGTATTATATAATGTCTATTAGTATATATAATATAATTGATATTATTAATTATACTAATAATTATATATGTGTACTAATACAAATTATTAATTGGTTATACTAAATCCCTAATTACACTTAATACAATAACATTTTTTTCTTAAAAAAAAGCACAAGCACAATTATGAATTAGTGATTGTATTTGTGCCAAAAGTGAAAACTTGACTACTTTAGTTATATTTATTTCATCATGTTGGATTGTATTCAAATAATTTTTATTTGATTGCTTTTATAAGTTTCAATTGTAAAATTACAATGAATAATAATTTGATGAGTGTTGATATTTTAGTACTTGATTATTTGTTAAAATTTAACCATAATAAAATTATATAACAAATTTTTATTAGCCCATGAGAGTACCCCCGAGAAAGCGGGGCGAGGCGAGGCGGGAGGAGCGGGGGACAGGAGATGGGGGGGGGGGGGAAGTTTGTAGGCAGCGGCGCGGGGGATGGGAGAGGGGTCCCTCGCCCCAATCCGGTCCCGTTGCCATCCTATACATAGCGTGACAAAGCCACTTCAAATAATTGCAACGATTCTAGCAGTCTTGTGTGTGCGGGACTTCCAAATTGTTCCTCAGCTCTCTTACTGGATGACACCAATTATGCTTTTCAGATGCATTGATCCTATAATTTGTTCTAGCCATGTTTTTAAAAATTCGCTATTCCTTCAGTCAATTGCTGAAACCATTGCACAGTTGCTCGTATGGCACCTTTCTAAGAACCTTAACCACAACTAACTCTCCCGCCACCCCAACATTTGACGCCAAATTTGAAAATGTTAGCCAACTGGAAAAGGCAATTTCTCTCTTTTACGATCTCAGCTTCCCACCTAATTTCTCACTGCCATATGCTAGGCTTTTCCAAGCATGCGCTCGCCACAATAGACTCGACTTAGGCCAAGATCTCCACCACCATTTGCTCACCCATGAAACCACCGAGGATATTGACTTGTACACTACCAACCACCTGATTAATATGTATGCCAAGTGTGGTGATTTGTGTACTGCCTACCAGATGTTCGAAAAAATGCCTCACAAGAATATTTTCTCTTGGACTTCTTTAATTTCTGGTTATTCTCAACATGGGAAAGTTGATGAATGTTTTAGTATGTTTACTGATATGTTAGCTCACTGTAGGCCCAATGATTTTGCTTACACCAGCGTGCTGTCTATATGTGATGGTTTTCGGGTAGGCAAGTGCATGGAGTTGTTGTAAAAACAGGATTTGGTGCATATGTCTATGTGGCGAATGCTTTGATTACCATGTACTGGAAGAGCAGAGAGACGGGATTTTGCAGAATTTACAACAATAGTGAGGAGGCTTGGAGGGTATTTGACGGGATGGAGTTCCGCAATCTTGTAACTTGGAACGCAATGATTGCTGGATTCCAAATGCTGGGACAGTGTTCAAATGCTGTTAATTTTTTCATCGCAATGTGTAGAGACGGTGTTGGGTTTGATCGTGCTACGCTTGTAAGTGTCCTTTCTGCATTTTCTGAAAATAATGAATACGAATATGTTTCAAGCCTCAAGTATTGTTTTCAAATACATGGTATTGTTATAAAGGCCGGGTTTAAGTTGGATGTTGCAGTGGTGACTGTACTACTGAGTGCTTATTCGATTCTTGGAGGAGAGGTTGCTGATTGTCATAAGTTGTTTATAGAGACTAATGGGTGCCGAGATGTTGTCTTATGGACTGGTATTATCACTTCTTTTGCTGATAGAAAACCTGGGGAAGCCCTTTTACTTTTTAATTTGTTGCGCACAGAGGGGTTGAATCCTGATTGTTATGCTTTTTCGATTGTATTAAAGGCTTGTGGAGGATTTTCTAATGACAAGCATGCCCTGGCCGTGTACTGTTTAATAACTAAAGTTGGTTTCACAAATAACATAGTTCTTCAGAATGCTTCAATTCATGCATTTGCAAGGTGTGGCTCACTTAGCCAAGCTGCGGTCATCTTTGATGAAATGAGAATAAGGGATGTAGTTTCTTGGAACTCAATAATAAAAGCTTATGCTTTACATGGGCAAGGGAAGCAGGCATTGGACTTGTTCAAACAAATGGATGTTGAACCTGATGCAACCACCTTTGTTGCTCTTCTCTCCGCTTGTAGTCATTCGGGAATGGTGCATGAAGGGGTTGAAATATTTGATACCATGTCCAACAGCTATGGGGTTGTTCCCCAACTTGATCACTATGCCTGCATGGTTGACATTCTTGGGCGAGCTGGGCATCTCGTTCAGGCTGTGAAGCTCATAAGGGAAATGCCCATGCAACCGGATTATGTTGTCTGGAGTGCTTTGGTAGGAGCCTGCCGGAAACACGGTGAAACACAGTTAGCCAACTTTGCTGTATCAAAACTAAGGGAGTTGGATCCAGAAAATTCTCTAGGATATGTAGTAATGTCAAACATACACTGTTCCACTGGTAGTTTTGATGTAGCTAGTCTAATAAGGAAGCGAATGAAAGCACTTGGGTACAGAAGGAGCCTGGCTTGAGCTGGACTGATATTGGTAATCAAGTTCATGAATTTGTTTCAGGGGGTGGAGCACACCCACAAAGAGAGACAATCCGCACTAATACGAAAGAACTAGTTGGAAAATTGAAGACACTTGGCTATGTTCCTCAAACTAGTTTGGCCTTGCACGATATTGAAGAAGAGCACAAAGAGGAAGAATTATACTACCACAGTGAGAAGTTGGCTCTGGTGTTTACTTTGATGAGCACTTCTGATTTGAATTGCAAGTTGGATGCTGTTAGGATCATGAAGAATATTCGTATTTGTCCAGACTGTCATAATTTTATGAAATTAGCATCACAATTAATTCAGAGGGAGATCGTTGTGAGAGATTCAAACCGTTTCCACAATTTTATGAAGGGGTTTTGCTCTTGTAATGATTACTGGTAATCCGCAGCTTACATGGTCAGACATTTTTCCTGTTGCAGACAACTTTATTTGCAAAGTTGCGGCTCTCTGACTAGTGGGGGCCCAGATGCCAATATGTCCTTATGTAACTAGTCTCAGTAGTTTCATTGTCACTTAACAGACTGTGAAGAAGCATCAACAAAAGAGGTCTTGATCAAGTTAAGCCCTACAACATGCAGAAACTTATAATCATGGAACTATCTTGAAGCATATAAGTTGTTTGTTTTGTCTTCCTGACAATACAGATGCTTTTCAAGTACTCTGTTCTGATCCTCAATGACCGATGTTGTTAAATGTAGCTTCCATTAGGCTCATTTTGGTTTGGATTTTTGAATAAGAAATGGTAAAATTATAAAGATTGTTGGATTGACTTCTTGAGACAATGGAAAAGCTACTGTTCCAATCCTCAATGACCCACATCTACCTGTTTTTGGTTTGCATTTTTCAGCTGAAGAAAGGTGATGTTCTTTAGCTTGTTAGATTGATTTCTGGAGACAATGGAGACAATCGAAGTATAGAGCAAAGACTAGTCAGTATTAAAGGATGACTGCAATATTCTTGTGGAGTAAAGATGAGGAATCATTCTATGGGTCCTAAATCTGCTGACTTTCTACAGGTACATTTTGGAAGTTTTATTTATCTGGATAAGTTGATGAAAAGTAAAAGGAAATCAGTGCACAAGGATTTGGAATTTGGAGGCTGCTCTGTGATTACATTGGGCATTGGGGAATCTCCAAACTTACCCAACTGAAGATAATAGAGAAGAGGTAAACCATGACATGGAAACCGGCTTTGTATCAGAAACATATAAACGAGTTAAATAATTCTAGCTCTATGCAGCGTTGCTATAACTGATTATTTTAACTATTTGCCTTACAGTTTAGGGTGTATCTGCCAGTTCAGTCATCATGTACGTTTTTTAATTGCCTATGACATATGAGAAGTACTATTGGTCTGTATTCCATTATCTGGGCTGCAAGTGTTACTAGTTAATATTGCCAAGTCAGCAGATTGATATGCTCAAACCAGACTAGCTGTTCTCCTCTTGCAGGCTATTCCATGCATCTATTGATGCCATTCGGCACTAGTCCCTTCCTGTTCTGCAACTTCCCTTTTAGTCAGCATTAGTAAAAGCATTAACTTCTGGAGGCTTTCTATTTCTCATGGTAATTGTAGTTTTTCTTTCAGCAGATAATTACTTAGTCAGTTCAACCCAGTTGATGAACATGTTCATTGTTATGCTGCATCAATGATATTTAACGGTTAAAATGTATTCACTAAAAAGCAAGGGTCTGCTTCAGCAAGGCTGTCTCTAACATGAGGATCAAGTCAGGTAACTTCTAATCCTTCTAAATTTTTGTTCTGAACTTTCACTGCTCTTGCTTATTATAAGTTGCTTTTTCTGCAAATTGTTATAACACGCTGTCCAACTGAATGTCCAAATATTTCACATCATAAGATGATTTTATTTGGAACAGTTTCCTTTGAGTCTTCATGTTTAAATTTTCACTACTAATCTTTTGACAGAATTCCTAAAGTCCTTTCCAATGTGATTTTGAATTCATCTCAGTATGAGCTTCTCATTGTTGTCTTTTCAATAGTTTCCATGTATCATGTAAGTACAGTTTTATGCTCATTAAGAAGGTACAGCAATTTCTTTTCTTTTTTATCCATTTCAGTATTCTTCAGTATCCTTTATCTCTATTAACCATTGATGGGAGTATTAGGTTTTTTAACTCTAGATTATATCAATTTGCTTTAGATGTTTCACAACACCAAAAAGCTCTCATGATTTTCTCTGGTGTTCATTTTCTTGGGTTTTGGATGAGGGCCTTCTTGGTGTCTTGTGGTTCTTGGATTTTTCTTTGGTTGGATCTGGGTTAAACAGTATAAGAGCCTATAGTAAATTCAGTCATCTTCTGTGCAATTTTACTTTGTCATTTGTCCATTCTGGTAAGACAATACTGCACAGAACTCACTTCTGTTTTACTTTCTAAACATTGGCCTCCCAAAAACAGTGAATGAAATAGGTTTGGCTAACTCAAGTAACCATGTGGTGAATGAACACTATGCATCTGTCTTCTTGAATTATTGACATGATCAACATAGTTAGCCTGCAATCCTGAACTTTTGCATGTAGAAACTCAATAAACAGAAAGGGAAAGGTTTGAAAATGGAATTCAAACAAGACAAGGTCAAAGCCCTCACTCTCAGACTTTATGAGAAACAAACGTTATTTGTTTCTGTAAAACTAGCTAAAGCTTTGTGATCCAAGGTACTTCTAGAGATCTTGAATTTGTGCATACATTTATGATGCCATCTGCCTTGTTTTTATTTACTATATTGACAGGTTATAAAGGAGAATATGGTGTCAAAAGAGTGAAATGGATCCCTAAGTCAGGTACTATGGGAGTATGAGTATGTTTCTTTTCCTTTTTCGCCCCTTTTGTGATGCTTTTGTGAATTGCATTATAATCAGAATTATGTTCTCTTTTCTCCTAGATGTGGTGATTGGATGTTCCATTTGAAACTTGGCCATTTTGTTGTGTATTTTTTTATGGTGAATTGGGTGAATAACTTCTGTTGAGTTTTTTATTTTATGAGTGACTTACTTTGGGATGACATATTGCTGAAATTTGTTAAGAGGGCAGTAGGTCGGCTTGACAAACATTGATGTTCTCCTCTTCTCTATTTTTTCCCCTATTTATACCATCATGAAAAATAAGTTTACAATGGTGGCTAACAATATCAGGACTGCTAAAAAAGTAAGTTTACTAAGTGATATTAAAAATTGATTTTGAAGTTAACTGTTATTTGTTTTCTTTTTGATGTTTAACTTGGGAAACAGTTATTTTCACTTGGGCAGCGAATCGTACTTTCCTTTTTCTTTTCTGAGTTCTTAAAAGGAAATAAAAAATAGAGAAACCTGATCTGCTCCAAAACAACCAACATCTTGTCAGGCTTTCAAGTAACTAACAGACGTACAAGTCAAAGACGTCTGCCTTTGGTTGAACTTTGTAGTTTTTGGTTCTCTTGAATCCTTGTTGAATTACACTGATGATGTTTTGGCATGAGTTTCCTCTATTTTAATTGACTTTTAATCCATTCAAGCCAAAAAGTAAATAAGAAGAAAGATGTACAGCTTCAAAGGAAGAAGAGTTTGTTATGTTGGGGATTATACTTAGGTACTTCAAACAGTTGATTTTCAGGTTTTTGATGTTGATCTTGTATTTCTATCGCTTAAGATTAAGGAACAACTTTCTTGATGCCTGGGAATATGCTTGCAAATTTTTTGCTTGGATACTACTTGTCCATAGTGTAGAACCCAAAAAATTCTAACAAAAAACTATAAGAGATATATTTGATTACTAAAACCATATCCTGAATAAAATACTGCTAAATAATAATATAGAAATTTCTATTTTTGAGCCTTGATTTAATATGCCAACAATGAGTCCCTTAAAGCAAGCTTTCCAATGAATCAAGTTCACCACCATCACTATCAATAATCTCCCTTGCAAATTTGCTAACATCAATTTGAATTTTTATTTTTAAAAGTTTTTGCTGCTGCAATATTTGACACATCTGGACAAAGTAAACTTGTCGCTCAATTTGTTTTTCACTTGCTAAAATAATCCATTCACCACTATCACTATCAATAATCTCCCTTGTAAATTTTTCTAACATTAATTTGAATTCTTCATCATCTTGTCGCTCAATTTGTTTTTCACTTGCTAAAATAATCTGTTCACCGCCACACCATCAATGATCACCCTTGCAAATTCTGCTAACATTAATTTGAATTCTTCATTTTTAAAAGTTTTTGCTGCTACAATATTCCACACATCTGGACAAAGTTCTCTTGTTGCTCAATTTGTTTTTTACTTGCTAAAATAATCCATGTTTCTAGATAAACGGCTCTCGTCGCAAAATTTGATATCAATTTATTAACAACTCATTTTGTGATTTTAATAATCACAATTCAACTGACAGAATTCTTCTCTGATCTCTGTCTTAATAATCACAATCAATTAGACAATTTCTGAACCAATCTTATGATCTAATCTTCACCAATTGGATACTCCATGATCGACCTTATTGTTTAACTTGATCAAATAAGTTTTTCATAGCAATTCTTATGCCCTAACCTGACCGTTGAAAATACTCAGGACCAACTTTATGGTCGGAATAATTCTTTAATGTTCACAGGCACGTCAAGATCAATTTCTTGAATATAGGGTTCTGATACTAGATGTAGAACTCAAAAAATTTCACCAAAAAACTATAGGAGATATATTAAACAACACTAATATACATAGGGCAGCAATTTACACACACACAACTATATGTGGATGAAAGTGGTGAAAGAGGAATAAATTTCAGCAATATATCATTAATCACACATAATAACAAGCCTCTCGATTGATAAAATAATAAGATTTCCTATTTATAAACTAAGTGACTTGGTAAACAAGTCTTATAACCATAAAAAATTTCCTAATAAAATACCTAATTCGTAAACAATAAAACTACTATAACTTGACTCAAATAAAATTGCTAAAACTGCAACTTGACTAAAACATTGCTAAATAATAATATAAAAATTTGCCTTGATTTAATATGCCAGGTCTCTATTGGCTTGATGGATTATAAACATGTGCTGATTAAGTGTGCAGCTGAGGCAGACTTCAATACAATTTGGACGAGAGGTATTTGGCAACTGGAAAAATTTCCAATGTGAGTATTTCATTGGACTAGGGAGTTTCATGTGCATAAGGAATCTTCTTTGGTTCTGGTTTGGGTGTCTCTATCGACTCTGCCAATTCACTATTTTGATAAGCATTCGTTGTTCTCTATTCTGTCTCTAGTCAGAAGGCCCTTATTCTTGGATTCGGCAATGGCTACTGGCACACGTCCTAGTGTGGCCAGGGTGTGCGTGGAGGTTGATGTAGCGAGGCCAGTCATTTCAAGAGTATGGGTGGCTATCAAAGGGGAGACAGGATTCTGGCAAAGAATTGTGACAGAGGATATGCTGTCATATTGCTCCTCTTGCTGGCGTTTGGGTCATTCAGCCGAGGAGTGTAAGAAAAATTCTTCTGAGATTGCGTCTCGGAACCAGAACAATCAACACCTGAGGATGCAGCGTGACCAAGATTGAGGGGAGTAACAATCAGGTGTATGTCCCTGTGAGCAATCTAGTTGTTAATGGGGCCAAGGAAGACCAATTTTTTACAGGCTGCTCCTTCGTCGAATGCGTCACCGGTTGGTCCTGATGATTCCAGAAAAGGCAAAGAAATTGAAGTGGAGAGGAAGCAGCCTGCTGGGTCTGTTGTGCTAGTGGATGGAGGTGATAGAACTAAGCGGCAGGAGCTTGTTTCAGGGAGTGATGCTGGCGACAAATCTGGTGCTGCGGTGGGTGGTGGTACTGAAGATATTGCTTCTATTGGTCATGGGAATCAGGATGCATGTGACGGGGTGGAGGGAACATTGGAGGGGGATCAAGGAGAAATTGTTGCAAAGCTGGTTTCTAAAAGAGAACATGAAGGTGAGGTGCGTCAGGTCCTTGAGAAGCAATCCTTGGGCGCTAGACAGCAGCCTCTAGTCGCGGGCATATTGTTTCTTTAAATAGCAGTGGGTTGGAGAGTTCGGGTGCAAAGTTGAATGGGGAGGAGTTTGGGTTAGACGGGGTACATGAGGAAGTTGGAGTTGAGCTACCTATCGTCACAGGAAATTTATCTCCAAGGATGGCTGTTAGACAAGAGAAGTTGCTGGAGTCGCCGGTGATGGCTTTGAACATTGATCAATCTGTTGCGGTTGATCAAGGTTTCAAGCAAGCGAGAGAAAAGGTGCGAGCTCGATTTCCCTCTGATAGACAGCTTCAACTGTGACATCTTCCCATAACTCCTTCCAGGTTTTATCTCATGATTAATGGCATTTTTTGAAATATTAAGGGGTGCTAAAGCCCCTAATCTAAGAAGATTGATTAAATTAGTAAGGTTGTATCATGTTAAATTCATTGTGATATGTGACCCCAAGCTAGATGTGTCTAAAATTGAGTCGATTCGGTTATGATTATTGTTTGATTTGGTGGTTGTTATAGTTCGGTGATATTTGGGTGTTCTATAGTAGTATTTTTATATGTTCGATTGTCGGTAATTCGGACTAGCATATTTCTTTATCTGTTCAATATCCATTGATGCCTGGTTCAATCATTATGTCATTTGTTCATGCAAAATGTTAAATGGAGGAGCGAAAGAGACTTATGGCAAAACTTATTAGCTAATAAGCCTAGCTCCCTGCCATGGTGCATTGGGGGTGATCTTAATGTCATAATGGCGCCTCAATGAAAAAGGAGGGGGGGGTCGTCCGTTTTCTATAGCTGAGGGTGGAGTTTATGTCCTTTGTGGAAGAGATGAGGTTTTTGATGTAGGTTTTTGGGAGTTAGTTTCACGTGGTTTAACAATCGGAGAGCAGAGCTAGAATTCGAAGAGATTGGACGGGTTGTTAATAAATGGGGAATGTTCGGATTTTTTGCGCATCGATTTCTGTAGTTCATTTGGCGAGACATCTGTCGGATCATGTGCCATTGAAGATTTCGTTTGCATCTCGGTTAGATAATAAGCTAAGACCATTTCTATTCTTGGATGTCTGGACGACAAAACCAGAACTTTTGGTGGTGATTAGAAGTGCCTGGAGTCGAGAAGCGAGTGGATCTCCTTCGCATGTTTTGTATTCTAAATTATTGGTGATGAGGAGGGCTATTCAGGACTGGAACAAGCAATGTTTTGGAAATGTGTTTGACTGTGTTCGAGGGATAGAGTCTGCGGTTGTAGACACCAAAATTTCATTTATTTAATTCAATTTTAACTTTATTTTTTTATTTATTTAATTCAATTTTAGCTTTATTTTTTATTTAATTCAATTTTAGCTTTATTTGTTATTTAATTCAATTTTAGCTTTATTTTTTATTTTTGTTTTATTTTATTTTATTTTATTGATTAAATGATGGTTAGTGTTTATTTTTGCTAATTTTTATAAATTAGGTTCATCATTTTTATATTTAAGATATTTTTGCATTAAATTTCTGAAAAGGAAAATTCTCACAAAAATACAAAAAAATTGTTTTTAATCCTCTTAGATTCAATTTCTTTAAAATAAATGAAAATTTTGCAGTGCAATTTCAATTAGGAATTAAATTTTTTTAAAAAAATTAAATTAAATTAAAAATATAGGAAAATATGTGAATAGGTGGACAAGTGTGTTAAAGGAATATTAGACAAGTGTCTTGGTTTTAGCACAACACATGTAAAGGGGGGTAGGTGGCAAGACAAGTGTTGAGCCTAGGAAAATTTGATGAAAAAAACAAACAAAAGAAAATGGAAAAGGAGAGAGCTGGCAGTGAAGGAAAAAGGGGAAAAGAAAAAAAAAGCAAGAAAGGGGCGACGGGCAAGAAAAACTGGGGAGAGTTCTTCGGGGAAATACGAGAGAGAGAGAGAGAGAGAGCAAGAGAGGTAGGAGCGGCGGACGAAGAGAAAAGAAGGGCTGAGGGAGAAAAAGAAAGCAAGGAAAAAGAGAGAGCCGAGGTGGGGAAGAGCTTTTGGGCAAGAAGGAAAAGGGAAAAGGAAAACCGAGAGGAGAAAGGGTAGAGGTTGAAGGAAACAAGAAAAGGGGTGGTAGAGAATCTGGAAAAAGCAAGGAAAAGAGGCAAAAGCTGGGCGGAGGAATTGTGATTCGCTGTCAGCTTCGGAACTTCCCACCATCACCAGGAACCTTCACCGAGAGAGAGTACTGTAAGCTATCCCTTTCCTTCAAATTTCATGTTCTCTTCAAACTCAGACTCTTAAGGCTCTCAAAGCAAGGAATTGGTTATTACGATTTTCCTAATGATTATCCACAGTTTCGAATATACATGTTTTATGTGTTGATTGGATTGAAATCCCTTGTGTTTCTGACAATTTTAGGGCTAGTTATAACTTCGATTAAGCAAAGAATCGGTGAATTTTCTTTTGCCCATCTGTTGTTCGATAGAATGCTTAACTAAGAGTTCTATTTGAAAGACGATTCGTCTGCGTTTTGCGTGAGAAGAAAATGAATAGTCAGCAATGCCAAGACATAATAGCTGATATTCATGGTAGAAAGCAGAGTTTTGAGAGGCTTTGACGTGCTTGTTCTTTGCACCTTTTCTGTTTTTTTCTTTTTATTATTCTTCCCTTTGTATGAACTCGAATTGATGTTATGACATTGTATGAGAGGGAGTTTGTGTGAGTTTCATTGTCTGTTGGGAATGGCTTGAGTTGAAATCGAATTTTTGGTATTTCTCTGTCTGCGAAGAAAGCTGAAATGGTAACTAATGTTAGCTCGTTTGAAAAAGATGATTATTTGTCTAGATTTATAATTTCAGTCCGTCCATTTTCCCTTTCTTTGTGATTTAACCCCAGAAGTTTTAGAACATCATAATTTGACCCTAAAACTTCTATAATTCTTTCAATTATGTCCTTATTTTTATTGCATTTTTAACCTCTCAAGTTTTCCTTTATTCTACTATGACCCTAAATTTGGAAAAACATAATCAATTTTGTCACTTCAAAATCTTAATTGCTTTTGGCATGTTTTAATATGATTTTTGAGTAGATTATTTGTAAATTTTAGGATGAATTTTAAAGGTTTAACAATTTTTCATAAATTTATAGTTTTTTATTTGGATTTTTGTAGAAATGGTTTAGATTTGAGTGATGTTTTGTTTTGGGATGACAGGATTTTGATTTATTTTGTGAACTTTAGCATTTAGTTTTGGTATGCTTCATCTTAAGTCCTTAATTTTATTTTTTTTAATTAGACCCTTAATACTTGTCATAATAATGATTTGACCCTCAATTCTTTAATTCTTTCAATTAGGTCCTTGTTTGTTTTAATTGTTGAATATGGGTTGTTTATTTTTATTGATTGATTTGATGATTCAATTTCGTGTTTGTTTTCATTTCTTGTGATTATTGTTACTTAAAGTGATGCCTTGACCTTTTTCTTTGTTTTGGAGGGTAAATAAAAAAATTTCATTTCATTAGGTACCAATTCAAGGGAGGTATTATCTACTCTTTATTTTGATTCTACTTGATCCTATGTGCCCCTATGTGACTTTATGTGGCGTAATTGCATGCCTTTGATGTTTTTATTTCATTTATTTATTTAGTCACTTTAAGTGTTTTGATTTAGTATATTTATTTTAATTTAATGTTTGATTATTTAAGAGGCATTTAAAATGCCAAATTGTAATAGTTAAGGGGGGTTCAAGACATGTATTTAGATAGAATATGTAATAGTTAGGTATTTATTTTATTATTTATTTTATTCCTTCCCCCTTAGATTGTAGTTAGGGTCCAAATCTAATAGTTAGGTTTTTATTTGCTTTATTTGCTTTGTGTATTTTGCATGCTTATGTTATTACATGTTACTCCGCTTTCTTAGAATCTTGCATCTAGATATCATGCTTATGTGCTATGTTTTTTATGTGATATTATGTGTTTACTTGCTTTATTATGTTTTACATGATTTATTTAATTGTAATAAATGCATGACGTCACCACACTAGTCCAACACTAGTTGTGGTCCCTTTTTCCGATCCACACTAGTCCAACGTTAGTTGTGACCCCTTTTTCCGATCCACACTAGTCCAACGCTAATTGTGACCCTCCTTTCTAATTTTTCATTAGTTCAGCGGTAGTGAGAACTTATAGATATGGGATGGTCCAACGCTAGACCTTTAGGGACTATTCACGCGTTAGATCATATTTGTGTGACAATCACTACATTTTCATGTATATTTTCTACTTTTTAGGGTTTTTTCGTTTGGCATGACATTTCCCTTATATGTATATCCCTAATACCATATTCCCCCTATATGTGTATCCCTTATCTCGTATTTCCCTATTTATATATATTCCTTATCCATATTTTCCCTATATGTATATTCCTTACCTTTATGTGTGAAATGTGACATATAAACTTGCATTTCACATTAAAATTAGAGATCATTTGCTTGATTAGATAGGTGAACTATCCTTTAAATATGGAATATGGACGAGTATGACTTCTTAGCCTTAGCATGCTTGTATTCCCTCTATAAAAGAAAAAATTGACTCACGAATTT